ACTATGACCTTCAAAATTTTCATTACACTTTTGATCTTGAGGATACCAATTGATAGCCTTACCTTTCCTCTATCGAACAAAACAAACCCAACTTTTTTCTGACTTTCCGATGAGAAGTTAGACCTCATGTACTGGAAGCCCTGAAAGCCTTGACTTTTAACCTAATCACGAGGGAATATTTTCAACTGTCAAATCCCTATTGAGTTCGGAGTTTGTGCATAAAATAGATCTTAGTCAGATGTGAAAAACCCCAAAATTTTAAATCCCCTTAGGCCTTCTGTCCGAAGTTATAGGCATTTTACTGGAATTTTAGCCTCTGGCATGGTACTTATTACCAAGCGCAATAAATACTTACATTGCATTATGTGATTTAGATTAGCACATTTGTCTTCAATTTTATGAGCTTGATTATAATCACCTTTTTGTTCATAACATATTCTAATAGAAAGTAGAGTATGAGCTATTTCTACATTTTTATCTGCATAAATTTCTTCGAATAAGTGGAATTCACATATCCAATATTCGAGTATTCGATAATTTTCATTTTGATCAAAACAAAACATGTCCACATTAATGACAAAACACGCTTCGTCTTTCAAACGTCTTGGTTCTGTTGCTCTGAATATTTTATATACACATTCATAATGATTTCATTCTTCACTCTTATCTCCTCAACTATCCAATGTTCGAGCTATATATATATAGACTCGCGGGCAAAAGTCTCCCCCCCCCTCCCTCCATCTCTTTTCTTGGCAAGGTTTTCTCTGCTATTATAAGGACAAAACATGGTGTTGTTCGGACCGTTTAGGGGTTATTAGGGATCCTCTTTTGTATGGTTCGAACAACACCGTTTGTTGTCCATATAATAGCAGAGAAAACCTTGTCAAGAAAAGAGATGTGGGAAAAGACTTTTGCCCACGGGTGTATATATGAATCAGAGCAAAAATGTTTTTCTTCACAATTTTCAATTAGTTTATTAAAGTAAGACAATGCTGAATCATATTTTCTCATGTCGTGTAACAATGTACCAAATTCGAAATGATCATTGATATATTGATATACAACTTTTCTACATTCATTCGTAGCAATCATATTCAAATATCATATACATTTGTCATTTTATTTTGGTGTCATCCTTAATTGAAAATGTTGTACCAATATCGAATAGGATTTCTTTTTCAGTTTGAAAATGACTTTCAGATGCAATATTAGCAAAAATGACAGTATCATCTAATTTTTCTATATCACGTTCTATTTCAATTAGAATTGATAGTTTTCAGGTGATGTCGATGACTCTCCTGCATAGATTTCTACTACACTTCGAGTAAGACTTGTTGATAGATAACCATTCATAGAAACTAATTGTTTTTCATCTTTCATGAGATCATCAAATCCAGTTTGTGTCAAACGAAGACTACGATAGACTGTGATTGGTTCACTGTGTTCTTGAAAAGTTTTTTATGTTTGCTAATAAGAGCTGAATATAAATCTTGAATAAAGTATCAAAATATATACATTTCTTCGACATCTTTGCTTCTCAATGGTTTGTTAATTAAACGATAGACAAATGAATCTTTCGTATACCATTTAATGGCATTTTTAGATCGATAGATTCGTTCAAATTCATCAATACATTTTAATTCTTGAATATTATTATGATAGTATTGTTTAGATGTATCAAGTATCTCCTTTTTGACGTATGATCGTCATATGATAATAGAATAACGCACTCTTTAAAAACATAAAAATCAAAGAAATTCTGCTGAAGTATCCGTTAACGTGCGTACATAATGTTGATGAGAACGATAAAAACTAAAAGTTTGAAGTTGTTTTTAAATTATTTATATTCGTTAACGTATAGCAGAGATCATATCATAATTAGTATTAAAAATGCCAGTAATTTTTTTCTTTGAATTAATCATATTTAATGATTTTGGCTGAAAAAATAAATATACCATCAATTTGTCGTATTCTGTTTGTCTTGAATACAAAGCAAAGCAGTAGCTAAATTCTTTTCAGTTGTTATAAAAATAATTTTCTCTTTCTTGATTATTTGTACACGAGTAACATATTCGTCAATATCTGTATAGTTGAGTATATAATCATTGATTTCTCTAAATTTCTTCATTCGTAGAAATGCCCTTCGATTCAAATATACATCGAAATAGACAATAGTGAAGCTACATCTTCTTTGTTTTCTGGAGTTGTTTATTAATTAGGAAATTTTCATTGTCACTAGGTTTTCCTTCCTAAATAAGAATCATTTATTTTTGATTTTGTTAAATTCATGTGCTTAAAATTCCACAGAAAATTTCTATTACATGTAAATCACATGGAATTCATCGGACAAAATTAATTATAGTATACAAAAAATAAACTTTTTTATGAATTTGTAGATTGTATTTGTGCTCTGTAAAACTTATTTAATAATATTGTTTCTAAGTTTTTACTCTTATGTAATAAATTACTCACTATTGTAAAGAAATTAATGCTCTGCAGACCAATCTTGGTTTATTTACTTTTACGCTTGCAATCTAACACATTTTTATTCTTGTCGTTCGTTACTTTTCCTTCTATTTATTTTTTTTTCTTTTATTATGCACTTCACTATGAACAAGAAAGTGCTAAAAACGTTTAAAGAAAATTTTCCGTTTTAGAAGGCATGTGCTCGATGTGGCAGAACAAAATGATTTCATAGGTTTTATGTGCATCTAATGTTTAATCATTATGATTGCATGTACTCTTTTTTTTATATAATATGATCTTATTTCTCTTGAAACAAACATCGTTCTATAACTTTAAGACATCGTTATGAATCATTGTTTTTATATTATGTGTCAGTATCTATGAGAAATACACGTAATACTAATCGAGAATCGATTCGCTTAACACTAGACTGATGTAATGACCTACTAAAAGACGTTCAGCTGTGTCCGTCTGTCTCTTTAATTTCTAATCGAAAATTCCTTAACGAATCTCCAGAGAGTTCTCGGTGACTCTTTGACAAATCTTCAAGCAGTTCCTGAATTTGAGAAATATAAGAAAAAAACAAAAACTCTCCTGGGACTTCCTTGAGACTTTCCAGGGGACTTATAAAGGAATGTAGGAATGTCTTCACCGTTTTCTTTTGTATACATGAAAGTATATAAGAAACTTGAGGTTCCGAAGATATAATAGTTTATTTTTAATATTAGCTTTTTCTTCATGATAAATGACATTTGAACTTTCACCTAAGGTATCTCAATCTCAGCAGCAGTCAATCGTTTTAAAATGGACTGACATTTAATTTGTGGGAGTCATTCGCCAAGATAGAGCCTGTTGAATAACTTAGGAGGGAGATCCTCTAGAGAAAATAAGAGATTTTATTGAAACCAAGATGTTTCAGTTGATAGGAACTGAACAAAAGTTAAGAAATTGTGAAAGAGTGAATTGATCTGTTTAGCCCCATACTAGACTTTCTGAACCCCTCCCCCCTCCCCAGAATTTTTTAGAAACTCCCTTAACGAATTCCTGGAGACACCCTATCGTGACTATACGAAGATTTTTCGATGGACTCCTCGAAGATTCGTTAAGGGATTCTCGACTAGAGATGCATTAACAATATTGTAACTGAGGCTCAAATAGCCGCCGGTAGAGTTGGTAGTATCACATATGTGCTTTAAAAAGAGCAATCCTTTAAAAACAATTGCCAACGAATACTGTATCATTGGTCAAAAGGATTGTATATATGACGAAAGGTCGGCGAGCATGATCATATCTGTAGCATTATTTAACTCAGTTTCTTCTCATTAAAATCCAATCTCCAACTGCCAGAACCATTGTTCTGACCATTTTGAGCATATTATTGTACATTTGAATAACATCTTTACAATATAAATGGTCAAGCATGTGACATTTATGATCACTTAAATTATAGCTTTAATCACTAGAATTGTAGTCACATCATTTCTTTCACATTTATTCAAATTTCGATCAAATTCATGACCATTTTAATCGTCTGGTCACTTGTGGGTCTCTATAGTCAGAGACCATAGAGACGCCATGATTGGATTAAAATATGATCTAAATCACAAAAAAAACCTGGCTCAATTGACCAAAATAATGGTCGAATTAATGTATATCTGTAGTCAATTATTTTATCGAGATTGCCATTTGTAGCATTTGTATGGTCACTTTTACTAAGTGTTATAGATAGACACAAACGAGTTCATAACATATTTCTTTCTTCACGTGCGCATTTTTGTATAACAGTTTCACTGCTCATGAATCGAAAATAAGAAATTTAAATTGAAATAAGTAAAATCGAACTTAAATGAACGCTGAATCTCATAAGTCGAAAATATTTCCAAACAGTAGTATATTTCTTTTAAAATAAATCAAAATAATATATCTGACCTCTTCAATACCTTAGAAAATAGGAATACTGACTCAATAATATAATTTCAATAGAAAAATCCGTTTGATTTTTATGTTTTCTGATTATATAAATTATAAAAACTCACACTCAATGAAAAGACTTTCATAGTTAATGACGATTATTAGGAGTTCACATTCTTTCACATCGGTGTGCATGTCTATATAAAATGAAATGAAGCATGTAGATAAAGGTGCAAACCAATGTGTAAAGTTCATCAGATCGAGTCTGAAGATTTTTATTAGTCAGGTTCGGATTGAAAAACATTTTAATTCATATTAGAAATCTTTTAAAAATTTCTTTCAATTTTTGTTCATCTTACTCCAAAAACGTTAAATTTGTTTCTAAAAAAATGGACAAAAACAAACAATAAAATACGAGCTTCTTTTAAGTCTCAATCGACAAAAGATTGATTGCTGCATTTTTAGATCATGAAATTTCTAATCAATCACGTCTGAGTTCACAAATTATTGGTCTCGTTAACCTTTGCCACTGCATAACAGCCTCTACTAGACTTAACAGGATTTTTTAAAATAATAATAAAACTAGATTTTTTTAAAATCTTTATTTCGTTATATACAGATAATTACAAAAAATCAGAATTTTTCAACAACGGAAAATAAACGTGAAAATCTTTTGATTGTGCTATTGTCCATTGATAATCGCTATCATCATGATTGATAAAATTGTGAAAATTTAATTCTTCCACATTGATACAATTAAGTCTCGTTGCATCTCTTGTAAAGTTATTTGTTATAGTTTTCAATTGATTATAATCAATTGCTAATTCTTTGAGACAATGTAAATGTGTTTTTGATTCATTTAACATTTGTTCAACATAATCAATATGTGTACGGCAAAATTCAAGTGATCTAAGATGAAGATATTGGACAATCTCAAATGATTCATTATTGTTATGTTCAGATCTAGCTGAATCTTTTAACTGTGCTTTGTAATTTATAATCATTAAAACGTGCAATAATGGAAAACATCGAGCCAATTGAACAAAAAATCCATGTTCAAATGGGATACCATCATATACACATAAAAAAGTAACATTCTTGAATATCGTATTCGTAAAACTATTACCAATGTATCCTATACGTTCAAATTTAAACGGAAGGGAGAAAACATGGTATGTGATATCAGACTCTTTGAAATGATTCATACTACAGCCAATTTGTCCAAATTTTACATTAGAAAAAGTTCGTTGAATATCATTATTTGATAAAGGAGTAACAGGATGATTGGAATAAGTAAAAGTACAGATATAAAAAACAAATGTTTGAAGCTTTGACAAATGAATAAGAACATCATTTTCAAGTTGAATGCCATCGACGAATCTATTTCGTTTCTTGATTTGAATATATAATGTTAAATCTTGAAGATTACACATTTGACGAAGAAGAGGTACAACTTGATTATCATATTCATTGGTTAAAGATTCGTATGTCAATGAAAAACGTTTCAAATTCTGTAGAACATTCTAAAACGTACAACATAATCAGTTTCAGAAAGAAATAGGTTTACAGTTTGAGATCATTAGGCTCCAAAATTCTTGAATCCCGAGGCTCAACGATGAATTTTTTGTTGGTTCATACTTGAACGAAACTTATACTTTATTTTTTTTTCTACTTTTAAAAATAACTTAAATGCTTTTGAAATAAGATGAACAATAATATAAAGAAATTTCTAATATGAATCAAATATTCTTTTCAATCTGTAACTGACTCATAGAAATCTTCAAAGTTGGATCCGATGAATTTTACTCATAATTTAAGATCATATATTAGATTCAAAAAAAATTTTCCTCAATCTTTTTAATCACTCGATTACGTAGAAAAATTTCTGGTAATAATATATGAAACATATAAACTTTTACTAGATTAAAACACGATGAATTATATTAAGATATTATAAATCAATGAAAAAAATTATATGAATTAAAATTTTATCCAAATACTTTACTATTTCTCTATTAGATATTAAATCAGAAATAGAAAACTGGAAAGTAACCCTGGTCCGGCGAGGATCATCTTTTGATTTTCACAGCATCAGATCCAATAATTTGATAAACTGATACCGTTACATCGTTTGTTCAAGAAATTAATTCCTATTTTTTCGAATTTATAATGTTTCTTGACTTAGAATCAATATTTATAGTTAAGTATTTTGGAAAAATCATATAGATTAAGACAAGAGTTTTTTTTCCAAAGACGAAATTAAAACAAGAATAAACAGAAAGGTTTAACAACAACTGATGGAGGAGCCGCACAAAAAAAGAATTGATCCCACAGTTCTCTAATCAAAAGAAGCCATTCTACGTTAACTAGTTTATTCTATCGAAAAAAAAAATATGCATGTATCGATTATAAAAATCAATCATTCAAACAATATTGGATCTTCATTACTTACTGAATTGAATTCCATTGATGAAGAATCTTTGACATTAACGATAATAACAATAAATGTAGACAATTGATTGAGACGACCATCAAGTAATCGAAGACAATCTCCAAAACTATCCACAGTGATCCGTAATTTAGTTAGATTTGACGAAACAAAAGTATTTGATGGTAAATCAACAAATGATAATACTGCATTATTACTAAAAGATGGTTCAATACAATCTAAAGAGTTTAGATTTGCAAAGAAATCAAAAAATTTTATATATATATTTGTCATCTGATCTATCGTTTCTACTTCATGACTGTGATGAATCAGTGTAAGATCTGTAATTTGTTTTTTGAAATTGTATCGGAAAATTAATTCATCTAAACATAAAATACAATTAAATATTCTAATCTTCTATTTTTTATTTAGATAAATAAATTCCTAAGTTATTTACCTGTACAAAAGTGTAAAAACAAATTTCCATGAAATTGAAATATTTTGAGTTGAGTTAGATTTGGATAAATACCAGCACGTAGAATACGATCCATAGTTGTTATTTCCAAATAAAGACATTTAACATTGTAATGAATTCGAGGTAATATATCCTTACAAAATCGATTTAACATTGGTTCATCCATTGAATATTTATCATTATTATCGGTAAACGCAAAATTGAGAGTGTTTGTAAATATTTCATCTTGTGCTAGAATGTCAAGTCCTTCAATTCCGATCAATGAATAGAGAACATCTATATTGTTCAATTCTTTTAAGATCTTAAGTAATATCTCAACAGGTAGATCAAGTAGATGAATGTCAGTACGATTCATGTTTACGTTTGATCATTGTGATGCTTTTTTCAAAGTATTTATATATATATTCTTGTGTCTACGTTTGTCTAGTTCGTTGATAGGCCATCAAAAATGCATTTTTATACATTGTTACGGACCTTTACCTAAGAAAGAACAATAAAAAAAAGCGAATCAATGGTAAATGTTTACGGATTGGTGCTTTATATTTTTGAGATGGGCTAGACATAATTTTGATTCTAGATTGTAGAGAATTTTTTTTTCTATCAAACTATGTTATTGATTATTTATTAAAAAGTGACCTATAATGACAAAATATGATTTATATATGCTGTTGTAGTGACATCTTTTCGTATATTTTGTTCTATATTGAATATAAATTTTCAAACTTTCCCTTAAGCCTAGCAAACTCACAGCTAAATAGTATCTTTATTCTATTCAGACTGAAAAATGTTGAATTTCTGACCCAGAAAAAAATGTCTAGATATGTGGCTCTCTCATAATGTATATTTGATATTCATTCGATGAGTCATCGAGCTATGGGGACGATGGACAGGCTGACCAGATCTTCTGATTTTTCAGAAATTTTCTGATTTTGAACACTTTTTCTGATGGCTTTCTGCTTTCTGATTTTCCTGACTTTCGTTTCTACCGTTGCAAATGTGCTAGTTCGTTCTCACATGAATACTCGAATTATTACTATTGATCATGGTGGTTAGATCTTCTGAAAAGTCAAAAAAGTTCGTAAAATTTGAACATTTTTCTAATTATTTTCTGATCTTCTGGTTTTTTTGATTTGGTTAGTTTTTTTTCTGATTTTTCTGCGAAACTGGACGTTTTTAGATCGTAATTTTGTTAGTAAACTTAAGTACAATTATAACTCACTGCTAGTTCAATATTGTGTCATCTTTTGTCTTAATAGTCTGTAATTTGTGACTTTTACAGCTACTAACGGACACTTTTATGCGCTGGTGAATCTTTATCAAATAGCAGTAGCATGCCCAAGGGAGTAACTGTAAAGGCGCTTAGGTCGCAGTCTTCTTCTAAAAATTTTGTTTCTTTTAGACAGCAAAACAGAAAAAAGTTCTTTTTCAAAGGCGTTTAGCTACTGGATTTATATGAATAGTAGCATTAAACTCCTCTGCGTTCGAAATTTTAAGATC